GCTTGCGGGCGAGGAAGGCATGGCCGGGGCGGTTCGTGCCCGGCCCGAGGCCGCACGCCTGCAGTCGGGGCTCCGCCGCGCGCTCGCGGCCGCCGCTCTGGGAGGGCGGTCCCGCTGTCCCCGGAATACGCTGCGTTTTAAGGTACTGCTGAGAAGAAAGTGTCAGATTCAGTGTTGTCGTTCCTCTACGTTTGGGGAGGATTTAGACGTCAGCCTTATGTAGACGTGGAAAAATTGTACAAGCTGTTTCTAGAATGCGAGAGACAGGGCGCGTTTTCGGGAGATACATCAACCGCACTATGCCCGAATCCCTGCATTGAGTCCCAGGCGGTGTGTTAGGCGTCGCAGGAGTGGAAAGCGGTGTGATACCCCCGCTGATACTCAGGGGCGCCACGGTCTAAGCGAGCCTACTGAGAATACTAGCAAGAGACAGTTTGGGGCCCGGGAAATAAATGCTGTGACGGTGCTTTGAAGAGGAGTGTTGTTCAGGGGTCTGTGAGATCGGGAAAAGCCTTGTGAGGTACATCTGGAGACATCCAAAAACATACACCTAGGATACGGTTGTGTAAGATACACCTTAGGAGGTTTAAGTTGCTGGGCAACTTGCATCTCTTGCTGTGGGATTAGAGGATTGACCTGTAGGTTACTAAGAAACATTTTCAAATTTTATGTTGTTGCCTAAAGGAACTTTACAAGTATTAATTTTGGCGTATTTGTCCACTGGGAGTAGCATGGGTTGAAGGAGGAAGAGACAGAGGGCATGCACACTGTGTATGAGGCACCTTTTCTGTAAAACTAAAACATGATCAGAATCAAGCTGGTTGTTCCTGAAGCCGTCACAGCTGAAATGACATGAAGGTAAGTGTGTCAGTCTTCAATAGAAAAGCTGAGCTGTCTTTTCAGAGGCATCAGTCCCAGTCTGTATGTGCCAAATCCAGTGTTTCAGGGAGAATGGTGAGTAGATGAGGGACCATACTGATGTTCTGTTGGCATTCACATAATGCTCCTGCATGAGATGAGTCATCACACTTCACCCTAGTAGCTCTGAAAAGTCAGCGCTTTTTTGTTTCGTTTTGTTTTTTCTGAAAAATAAAATTCAAAAGTGAGAGGGCCCAGAGGTGTTATAGATGTATAGTTTTCCCAAAGTATATATGACTTTTATTTGTACAGAATCAATGGATTACCCTTAAACCCACGTAATATGGGTTGAAGAGTAATCCTCTTTAAGGGCTAAGGAAATTAATTATTTGAGAAGCAAAGATCCTATTCAGGTGAAATGAAACATTGACAGATTAACACAGCTGAGGACAGTGGGTTTTAGTCATATTTATGAGAAAGGCTACAATATATAAGGAAATTATTTAGAGAGTAGAAGACAAGAGTTAAACTTTTAAAAATATTAATTCAAGCCTTTGGGCTATAATGCTTTGATCTTTTAAATTTTCTGTATTAGAGGAATAAGATCTTTCCCCATGCCAAGTGAAAGCTATGCTTTCAGAGTTGTAAATCCAAAAAATGAGATTCAGGGTTTTTTCTCATCAATTTAATTTTTCTCTGTTACTGCTTGGTGAAACTTCTATGTTCTTAGGGAAAAATATGTGTGAAGTGTTACATCATTCATTATTTGCATATAAATTGAAATAACCATGTTCTCTTTGATAAAGTCTTATATCTAGGAATTCAAAAGAATAAATAGGAAGTTTTAGGCACCTGCTGTATAGCAAAACATTTGTGTTTTCTGTCAGGAACCTAATGAAATGGTTTGATTTTAAGTAATTGCACGAAGGAAAACCATGACTGCCTTGTAATGACATTTTATGTATTTGGAAGTTTATTTGGGGAATTTAAAAATACATGAACAAGGTCAGAGAAATGAGATTCGGTAAATTTTTACGGTTAGTCTAGGCCAGTGTTTCTATCCTTGATGTTTTTGCAACATGTCATGCTAGAGAATTTTTTCTTGTGAGGATGTTTAGGAGTGTCCCTTGACATCTTCTCTAGGTTGCCAGTAGCATTATCCTACTTGTGACGAACAAAATAATTTCAGACATTTCCACGTATCCTCTGAGAGGCAAAACCACCCCTCACCCAGAATCATTGGTCTCTATAGGAAATTACCCATAGCTGGCATGAAAATGATGGATTACCACTTACTAGAACAGCATCTCCAGTAGAGTAGTCTAGCTTTTTCTGACTTTGATCCCTGTCATTAGACATTAGGTTTTAAAGTAGATCAGCTTTTCATAATCTTAAAAAAAAAAGTGTGTGGAGAAACTGTTCTCAGAATTTCCTTTAAATATGTTTTATGGTTCATGTCAACTTTATTTTTAAATTTAAAATTACAGAGCAAAATTTGTATGAAAATGATTGCAAACATTTCATCATTAAGTGTAGTGATAGCCAGATAAGTGGCGTCCTGGAAGAATGGTATGAAATTCTTTCTGCTAGGTTGTAGTGACTCCTGTTTTCAATTTTAATTAACAGATCTTTTTCTTGCTCATTCATTTGCTTTTTTTCTCCTGTGGGAACTATTTAAAGAGTTTGAAAGAACTTCAGAGATTGTCTTATTCAAGCCCGTCATTTTTCAGATAAGAAAACTTGCATTTGGTCAGGTGGAATGTATTGTTTGGGGTGTCAAAATTGCTGACAAGAGAGAAGAGAAGAATTTCCCATACAGAATTTCAAAAAAGTTATGTGGGTATCCCCCCTGCAGTGCCCTTAAGTGTCGATGGCACCTAGTGATTTGCTTTCAAAAAGTACAATGTGAGAGGAGGAAAAAAGTAAGTTTACAGTAGAGAAACCTGACAAACATTACTGCAGCTAGGTGATTAAGGTTAACATAGCAGTGGTTAAGTCAGGTTGATAGGACCCTTGATATGTGATGAGAATGGCACTTCACTTCTGTCCTTATCCTCAAAACACAGAGCCTCAGTCTAACCAGGAGAATTACCTCAATCAGATAATAACTGGGGGAGACTATAAATACCTGGCTAGTACTCCTCAAAATTGTCAAAGACCTTCAAAACCAGTGTAAGTCTGAGAAGCCACACCTGCCCACATGAGGATAAAGACAACTAAGTGTGTCAACTAAATGACAACATTTTGTGACAACTAAATATAATGCATCCTTGAGGGGATTGTCTAACAGAAAAAGGAGATTAGCTAAAAACTAGTAGAAATAAAATGAGGAATTCAGCTAATGTATCAACGTTGATTCCTTAGTTGTGACAGGTATCAACTATAGTGGTAAATAGAAGTAGAATATATAGGAATACTATGTTATCTTTCCAACATTTCTGTAAATCTTGAACTTTCTATAAAGTTCATTTTTAAAAAATGGAATCAAGCCCTCTAGCTGTTTCTTCTCAGTACTATGGAGATTTACCAAATACATGTGATGTTTAGAAAAAGACTTTTTCTCAAGAAAGAATGATGCAATTGAAAGGGGACGTAAATTAGACATTTTCATGCATCTCATTTTTTTTTAATAATATTGTACTCCTGCAGCAGAGAGTGAAGAAGATGATGAAATGGAAGTTGAAGACCAGGATAGCAAAGAAGCCAAAAAACCAAACATCATAAATTTTGACACAAGTCTGCCAACCTCACATACAGTATGTAATTTAATAATAGAGCTAATGTAATAGACATGTCAAAGTTTCATTTAAAACAGTGGGCTAATTTAAGTATTTTTGGATTTTATCTCATGCTAGAAATTGTGAATAAGAACATGGACTATTTTCCAGTGGATAAACATACAGTATTATTTTTTTAGTAGCTTAATACTACTATTTTCCAGTAGATAGACATAAACTTTTTAAACAGTTTAATACTATAGTCTAGTAAAATTCTTTTGGGAGTTGTCTCCCTTCTTACAGTTTTGTTAGTAAATAAACTATTAAGTGTGCATTCTCTGTACTACTAAGTTCTGGAGTATTACCAAACATGTTAACATTTTATACTTGTTATTTGTGATATTTGGACATAGAGATGTTTCTTATGTTGGTCCAAATAAGATATTTTGATCTACAAAAGTTTCTTGAATTTGTGTGTAGGGGAACAATTCTTCATAAAAGATTGGAAAATTCTAACAGTAAATATTAGATTAAAAATTAGATTTTCATGTAGGATGCTTACATACCAAGTTTTTTATGTCAGTAAATATTTGTATTGTCTGTCTGTATTCCTTTGAATCTGATTTGGTTAGTTTATTGAATTTTATTTTGTTGTGTATCAGTCATGACACTGTGTCTATCTATTCTTCAATAGTACCTGGGTGCTGACATGGAAGAGTTTCATGGTAGGACTCTGAATGATGACGACAGCTGTCAGGTGATTCCAGTTCTGCCACAGGTGATGATGATCCTGATTCCTGGGCAGACTCTACCTCTACGGCTTTTTAGCCCTCAAGAAGTCAGTATGGTGCGGAATTTAATTCAGAAAGATAGAACTTTTGCCGTTCTTGCATACAGGTAAAATATTTGCTGAATGCATTTGCTCTCCTGTGTAGTTACAGCAGAGATAACTGGTAAAGCGAAGTGGGAGTATAATTTTGCGTTATAGGATAGACAGGCTGTGAATGTGAAGTAAAGAATCTTGTTGGGGAAAAGTTTGCAAGTACAAATTGGGATATATTTTCATTGCTACGTAAACTACACTTTATCATCACAATTTAGCTTTACTCGTGAATTTTTTTTTTTTTTCCCCGTACCGAGAATCAAATTCAGGACCTTGTACTTGCCAGGCAGGCACTTATGCAGCTGAGCTATATCCCCAGCTCTTTATTCATGAATTCTTAATAAAAAAACATTTCTAGATTTGTAGTTTCAAGAACTGTCTTTATTTAAACAAAAGTGGGGCTTTTGTATTACAGTGTAAAGGATTAATTTTCTAAAACAGTGATTTCTTCTTTTCTTTTCTCAAAATTCTTAAATTTTGCCAATACAAATCTGTGTAAACTGAAGCTGAACTTAAAGTATCTGGTAGCACATGGAGGAAATCTGTGGATGAGACAGGAAACAAATGCAGGAAGTTCCCACCCAGTACAGAGCTGCTGCTTAACAGCAGAACTGATGGCTTAACAAAGTGAAAGAATGTTTGGTTTGGAGAATGTTTTGAAAGACTTTTGGTCTTAGATGATTTCAGTGGGTAAGAATCAGTTCTTTCCCTAAGTGCTGTAACTGTACATCTTAAAGCATCCTTGTATATTCTCCATGTTAATTTAAAAAAAATTATACTACCTTTGCTGTGAAAGTTGATTGCTATACGTTGTTTTCCTATGTGTACTGCTTTTGTCATCTGTGTATTTAAAACTGCTCAAAATTTTCTTTTAAAATTTACCTTGCAAGTAATATACAGGAAAGAGAAGCACAGTTTGGAACAACAGCAGAGATATATGCCTATAGAGAAGAACAAGACTTTGGAATTGAAATAGTGAAAGT